GAATTAAATTTGTTATCGACCAATTAATTAATATGACACACATACACACATAAGCATATGTGCTTAGCTTATATTAAGTAACGGTGATATGTCACACCAATTAATTGGTGAACCATTAAATTTATGGGGTCTACCATTAACTTATTCACAAATTAATGATATATCATGTCACTAGTGCTTAACATAAACTAAGTATCGAAAAATGCTCTATATATTATGGCAGTTGACCATGAAAATGTTTAATACTCTTTTCTTTAATTCACATGTAATATGTACATAATTAATTTACTTAATATGGTTTTGTTACCTACTAAATGACATTTTATACTTCAAATACCTGTATCACGAAATAATTGGAACGTAAACTGGGGTGCTGAGCAACCGGATACTTGTCCTGTCAGTTACAAGGAACTGTTACAGCAGCTGTGCTATTGGCGAAGTCAACGCTTGAATAGTGACTTATATAAGAAATTAATTTAAAAAGAAAGAGGAAATTACTAGAAATATCCACTTTCACATATTCATTTGTAAAAATGTCCACCATTACAAATCCTTACAAAAACTTCCATTTTGGAATAATTTAGACCAAAATATCTTTGTTAACAATTTACAAAGGTTAAACCCCAACATTGAGGGCCCCCATCGCCCAGTCACTAGAGTTTTGTGAGGGAGGTAAATCGCGGGATGTGCCTCAACAGGCAAAGGAACAAGAGCTGCCTGTACACTGCACCTACAAGGAGTCCAATTCCATGCTTCAGAAATCGAACCCTCACACTGCGACTGCCAGCAAGGTATGAGATAACCTCACTCACCACTAGGCTATGTCCACACAAAGACAAAAATGGATATTTTTGCAATTAAAAATTTTATTGACCAGTAAAATTTGACACATAACCTGCCCTATTTATTTCAAAACTGCATACATCAAATCACAATAAATGCTTTTTTTCTCATTGACACAGAAATGTTGAGAACTACATTTTAAATGTAGAGAAATGTCATGTTCGAAATGAAATGTCATTCTAAACATTTAATATGCCGAGAACATTTAATGTTGTGATTTGACATGTACATTTTTTAAATTTAAACGAGATTCAAACATCGAGAACATCATTTTAATGTAACGTCTCATGGAAGCTACTTCTCAAAATCTGTGAAAAATTGGAAAAAATTTAATTGCTTCATTTTTCATTAATGGCATAATAGACAGTTTAATACTAAATTTAAAAAGTGGACATTTTTGAATTGACACCTATGAAATTGGACATTTTTTAAAATACCCTTTTAAAGAATCGAAACATTTTTTTTTTTGGCAATTCGCAANTGTAGTAAAGAAATATAGAACGAGACTCGTTTGGCATGGATTTTAAAAATGCAAAATGAATTTTTGAGATCAAAAAACTATTTTTGGACTCATTTAACTAATTTTATGAAAGTACTTTTAATAATTAGAAAAGTTTTTAGAGAAAATTAGTCAATATGACTTTCTCTAAAAACACTTTCAAAATAGAAAGTACTTTTAAAAATGAATTTTCAGACAAAAATTAAAATAATTTTTTTCAAAAACTCTTCAATAAGAGGTAAAAGTTATGTCAAACGAGTCCTTATTTATTCAAACTTCTTACTTGAAATTGCCGACTCTAATTGTTTCAATAATCACCCAACTTATATCATGGTCATGGTTTACTCACTAAACTTCAAAATGCTTCACATTTCTCATTGAACTTTGTCCGTTTGCACCCCATCCATTGCCCTTAAAAATCCATAATCTTATTTGCCGACGTGGTTAACAGAAATCTGATGTGTCAAGTTACGTCATTTAAAAAATTACAAATCAGTCAAATTATTGTTTCATCACTCATCCAACTTAAACTAGGATGTAGTTTACTCATCGAACTTCAAAATGCTTCCCAATGGTCACTCTTCTTTGAGATATTGCACTAAAGCTACTATCCGCCATGGTTTGTTCACTTCATTGCTAATTTAATATACGGAAATTTCACATGTAAGTACAATCATAAAAAAAATTACAATTCAAACAAGTCATCAACACACGAAAATTACCACATGTAAAAAATGACTTCCACGCTCCCATAGACTTCTTTAAAACTCAATAAAACATCCTCAATTTCAACCCTATAAAACCTAGTGTTAAGTGCATTTTGTTACACTTATTTAGTCCTTTTAAATTAGAGTAGTTATCGGATATTTTAATAAATTATGGCTAAATTCTATATATATTGTGTTCGTTAGATAAAAATCGATGGAATTGGAGACGATGAAATGAGAAAATGGTGAAATATGGATAAAGTATAATCGAAATACAAAACTATGATTGAAGATCACATATGATAAGTTGGATGCAATCCGAAATGAATTTCCAATTAAACAAATCAAGTTTCAGATTTTCAACTTTAGATTGAAACCTATTTTTTCACATTATAAACGTTCAAAATTAGAAAAGTGATATTTTCAAAAAGACTCATTGGGGAAACTTTATTGGGTTTTAAAATTTTTTTATGGGAGTTGTGGAAGTCATGTTTCACACATGGTGATTCTAGCAAATTAATAGTTTTACTGAGTTGTAGTTTTTTTAACATTTGTAACTTACTATATGGAATTCCTATGCAAACATTAGGATCGAAGGGAATGAAATATATGGATGATTGATGGAATCCAATATCTCAAAGATGAGTGACCATTGGAAAGTATTTTGAAGTTTGATGAGTAAATTTTGACTTATTGTAAGTTGGATGAGTGATGAAACAATCATTTACTAATTAGTAATTTTTTTAACTACCGTAACTTGGTACATCAAATTTTTGTTAATCACGTTAGTAAATAAGATAATGGATTTTTGAGGGCGATGGATGGAGAGCAACCGGACAAACTTTAGTGAGCATTGTGAAACACTTTGAAGTTTAGTAAGTAAACTGTGACCATGGTATAAGTTAGGTGATTATTGAAACAATTAACTCTTATGTTAAAATCCGTGGAGCATACTTTAGCCTGCTTGCATTTACTAGCATCTCTAGTGATTAAATTTCAAATTTTCTCCCTTCGCATAAATGCTATTTCAATATTTTTGTTTGTTATATAATTTTCAAAAGTCACAACTATGTTGCATGGATAATATTTGCAATTTCTTGCCCTGTAGGGCACATCCCAATTGGTAAAAATGAGGGCGCTTCAAGGCTGGCAGATCAGAGGTCGTGAGTTCGATTCCTGGAAGGTTCTTGGAAGACAGATATTCTCTTGGAAGGCAGGAGCTCTACTGGAAGGCAATGTGTAAGATGGGAAACGACTTGCTTGGTACTTTGACAGATCAGTTGGGGGGCTCTTGAACACTGATCAATTTGGGGCACAACCTGCGGTTTAACCTGTCTACAGTTTGAGGGGCCAAGGTGTAGACCCCATGATTTAGTCACTGTAAGGTGGATACCTAGATATCAAAAAAAAAATATATATATATTTGCAATTTCTTTATATCTTACACAAATTCCTTGGAATTTATATTGCTAAACAAGTTTAGAATTTTATTTCTTATTTGCTACACGTCACCGGGAAATTTTTATTTTTGAAACGGTCATAATTGAAAATTGCTTTATTTATTTATTTTTGTATCGGTGAAATTTTATTTTTGAAAGGATCATCATTGAGATTTGCTATTTTTGCATCGATTTGATTGTCTTTCACATATATCCCAATCAATTCGATAGGAAAAGAATTTCATTCAAGTGGGGCCCAGTGGGGTGAAGGCGAGATTGGCTATGATCTTGCACAATTTTAATCTCAGTAAAAGAAGTGATAAAATAAAAAGTAATTAAAAAAATATAAAATTTCATATATTAGTTTTATGGCCTAAATTTTCCTTTATAAAATGATATGGGTTAGTTTGCGGTGGGGTATTTAGATTTTCGAGAAATTCTCGTGAGTCTATTACTTTTCAGAAGTCAGAATCAACTTGGAGCCCTAAATACTGGCGGGACCTACCGTGCTAATTAACCTACTTCTTTCTTTTTTGCTTTTTCAATTTTTTTTTGTAATTACGTAGTTAGCCCTAGTTTAACTCCCATTAATTTTCATTCTATTACATTATATTTTTTTTTCTTATTTTCAACCACACAATCTTTCATAAAATAATATGACACGAAAATAAAAAAATTATTTTTTTTTCAACCACTCATTTTTCAAAAAAAATACTATTTCACACATTTTTATTTTCAAAAAAATGAGAATATAATGGGAGCTTAGTGGCGTGGTATAATTGTTGGTACTAAAAGGAAACATATGATTCATTATGAATGTTATTTTGTTAATAAAAATGGCTCCTCGGTAGGATGACGAATTGGCCTATTATAAAAACGAAATTTCACAAGTAGGGACTTAAGACTTCAATTCATTTTCATCCTCACCTCTAACTTTCATAATATTGTCAAGAAATAACAATATTTTGAATAGTCTACGTACAATTTGGTAACATATTTTATGATCAAAATGTAAAATGTTCATATCCGAGCGCCAATCATCTTCCCCACTTCTAAACAATTTCAGTCTGATACTGCTTGTGTAATACGTGATCATGTATAAGTCTTGGAATGAGTTCACAACTCACGCTTCCTACATTTGCTCTTCCTTTTCATCCCTTCCAAATTCACACCATTCAGTTAGTAATTAGTACTTACCTTTTGACTATGAAAAATCCCCCGAGTTGCTTTTTTCATGTGTCCTTTTTGTTCTGTAAAGCATAACCAGCCCACTAATCCCAAAAAAACAGCACCAGTAATTCACATATTTAGATATTTAGAGATAAACGCCAAGAAAAAATAACTCAAAGTTACCTTCACAGATCTGTGGCCTTGACCCCGGGAGATTCTGCTATAAGGCATTAAGAAGTGGGGTTTTACTTTCTTGCCAAAATCAAGATTATTAGTTGATAAAAGTGTCAAAGAATTCTTTTTTTTTTTTTTTTTTTTTTTCTCAGTTTCCGCAGTTAACTGGTAATGAAGGGTTTGGATCAAGTGAAAATGAGAAGGGGTACTGTTTTAACAATTGCTGGTACTATTTTTGTCATCCTCTTTTCAAACCTTGTTAGCATACTCAAGATTCAGAACAAGGGTTCTAAGCTTGGTACAATGACACCAATGGATCAAGTACTTTGGAGGACCAATTTGCTAGAGGCTACTCTCATGGGTATGAATATTATCCTGATCAGTTTTTTTCAATATTATATGTTTATTAATTTTATTGTTGGTTTTGGAATGTGAAACATGCTACTCAAATTGTTGCCTCTATGGTTGTTTCTTGGTACATTATGATTTGAACCGTGAAAAAATTGTGTTTCGATTCCATGTGCTTGATTTGAAGATTACTGATTTGTGAATGTAAAATGTGCTACTAAGTTGGTGGCTTACATTTGATGGATTTGATATGTATTACTCGCTCGGTACAATATCTAATTGCAGTGAAAAGATTGTCTAGAGTTATCAACGTCTATAATTTTGGTTTTAGAGGAAGAATAACTTTGCCCACTCAGTGACTGTACCTTCAGTTAATAATCAGAGGGAGTGTGAAACCTGCATTAATGCTTTGGAAAAGCCCGGTTCTCTATGTCTTCGAGCTTTTATTCCTCAATCCACTGATTTGTTACTTCATATACCTCCTGGCTCCCTTACTCCATTCCTTCCTTCATCAGGAATGGCTGGACAGAAAAGAAAAACTCAGTCCATACAATCAAGGTGGGTGGGAAGAATACTTTATTTAATTATTGCTTATTTTGTATCAACTTCATATCAGCTGTGGAATTGTCATCTTCCACGTATCAGCTTGAATGTGATGGAAATAATTTATTCACGGTCATTTAACTTTGGTTACTCATTAACATCCATTTGTCTATGTTACGTGGATGAGCACCTGAGACAATAATGCTGAATTGGAGTTTGAATTGGAGCATCGTGAGAGGGTTACCTGTCATGTGTATGCCACGTAGGGCAGACTCTCGTAGTGAGCGACTGCGGATATCATTATTCATCATGAGAAAGGGGTAAAGTATAATTATAGAGAGAGTGAGATGAAGGTCTGGTGGGGGTTTATGGTCTCAAAATAAAAATAGCCGATAACTAATAGTTGAGTCATCCTTTATTTGAACTACGCTTATATTCAAATAAGAAATGAACAAGACAAGCAGGGGCATAACCGCCTTAGGCTGCCCTCACTGGGTTTTGGAAAATAAATAATTGATATAGAAATTTGTTACTTTGTGCAATACGACAGCAGAGAAAGTAAGCATGAAAAAGAGATGATGAAGAAGGTGAAAGAGGCATAAAGCCTTTCTAATTGGAAGATTACAGTTGGGTTCTAATTCTGTGGTTAATTGAAGACAAATTGAGGTGCGTTTGGCTGACGAAATAGGGGTGAACTCTGATTTCTTGGATTCATCCATGTTTATTGCTTTTATATGTGATGCCAAGAGAGAAGTTAGAAGTTGAGAAGATAGATATTCAGGTGGTTGAAAGAAATCTCCATCCCCACATAATTTCGGTCAGTATAATCCTTTGTACAATAAGTACAAGTTTTGAGGGAAAGTCTGATTGTGCATTGATTGAGAATAAAAGATATATAATTTATCCATCAATTAAACATAGAAGTAAACTACTGAATGATCTAAAGGTTAGCTTAGATATTTTTATGTAAAAGAGACTGTTTGGCTAGACTAAAGAATGCTGTGGCCAACTTTCAATATCTTCATCCACCACCATATATTGAATAGTATTAGGGACAAAAACTAACGATCTTTCATCACACGTTTCTATTTTTTAACCTCGTGTCGTAAAATGTATTGAATATGCAGAGTATAAAAAGAAAAACTTATATCAAAAAATTGTAATATGTTCACAATTCTTGAGTTAAAAATTTGTTTTTAAAAAATTAATTTTATTTAAGTTATGCCCCACTGGATCATAGACCTAGCTCCGCCTCTGAAGACGAAGTCTAGAGTCCTACAGGAAATGGAGAATGAAGACGTGAAATTGACCAATTATCAGTTAATTTCTTATATAATGTCTTAAGGTGCTTCTGGGTGCTGATAGATGAAGGTGTACACTAATTTAAGTATTTGCAATCTCCTAGATTGAGGTAATTTTACCTTTTCAATTATATCGTGTGCTATCTATCCCCCTGATAGCCGTGTTCTACAAACTCACTTGCCTTGGTTCTCCCTTTTTGAAGTTTGAATATTCAAGTCAATCTCTAATACATTTCTTGCAGAATGCTTGGAGCATAATTTTGAGTGTAGTGCATAATATTATATGCTCTGCATACTTTAGGAAAGGTCTTGTTTTGCTGGTGTTTGGGAAATGTAATGTTTAATCTCATGCTATTTTAAGATACTGATATCAACCACTATATGGGTTTATCTTAATCTGATGTTCCTCATGCTTTAGTTTAGTACCTGTCGAACTTCGAATTAAATAAAAACTAGCTGCAGCTGCTGCTGTTGCTAATTTGTCGTGCATGTTTAGTTTAGTTAAATATTGGCGTTTATTTCGGGGTGCAGCCTCTCTTTGTTTATTGACTCGCCTTAGGCCCCAAATTTGTTATTGCAATAGTAAACCAGGTTACTCTGTACTTTTATTTTTTAATTTACAAAGTCTTGTTCCCAATAAAATTGAGGTCAGCCCCATAGAATCCATTTCGCCACTCTAGCTTAATTTTTAGAGCTATTAGAAGATCCAAAGCAACTAGACTATTTGCAACTACAACACGCCATTTTTGTTGTGGTTTATCCCATCTCCTCTTTCTTATCATAATCTACTGACATTGCACACTTTTTGTGATCTCCACTTAAGTTCTGGTTTCTTAATTTATCCTCAATTAGTGTCATCTCCACTTGTTTGGCTTGGTTTTCCATTTCTTATCTTATTATGACCATACACCTCTTTGCTCATTTCTGCTATATTCGTCCCACGTATTCGGAACCTTATGTGTAATTTCTTACCATTTATTATTAAATTACTGTCTACTCGTTGTTACTGCGTCAATTGCTAGTCAAACAACCAATTATGTTAATAATAATGTTATATAATTTTCCTATTTTCACATGTAAGCTTTCAAATGATATTCATTTATTTCATATTCTTCGAAGTGTTATATATATTTCTGCTTCTGCTGTCTTGTCTTTAACCGTCTGAACTTGATCTTGTAGCGTTCTCTCTCTTCCTTGCTTTCTTAATTGATCGAATGCACCATTATATGCGGAAATTGATCAAACTTAGGAGTAGTTCTGGAGAGTCGAAACAAGAAGTCGAGAGGCTTGAGAAAGAAAAGTCGCAACTGAAGGAAAAGGAAGTGAGAGCTGCTGAAGAAGTAAAAAGATTGCAGAAAGAAATCTCTAGTTTGACGGACAATTTGAATAAGATTAAGTCGGAGTCTGCAGAAAAAGACAAGAAGGTCGAAACTGCTGAAGCTCATGTTGTTGCTCTACAGAAACAAGCTGCAGATCTGCTTCTCGAATATGATCATTTATTAGAAGAAAACCAAAATCTTCAGAACCAAGCTCATGGTTTCCGCAGTTGAGAAACTCAATGGAATCAAGCTGTAAGAAATTTTGAAATTTGTTTTGGTAACGGATGATGACAATGATCACTATCAGCCTGATGTTTTAGTTTTCACGTAGCAAGGGGATTTTAACGTCACGGTTTAGCCAGTTCATCTAATATCGTTATAGATTTTGCAAACTTTCTCATCTTTATTTTGGTTTCTCCGACCCGACTTTAGGATATCTGTTTGGCGGTTTTTCCCGACCAGGGAGGTGACTTGATTATGTGGATGAGAAGTTCACTTGTAATGTTCTTTTGTTGCTCAGAATGAATAGATTTTGTTGGAAGAACTTTGGCTCTTGCTGGATGGGCATTTGATATTCCTTTCTCATTAATTGGCTAGTTTCAGAGTTTCGAGTGACAATTACAGAATCATCTTTTGTTTTTGTTACACCAAAAAATAAAAATACAAGGACAAAACCGTCAACTGAATATTTTGCTCTCATCTTAACTTTATACATATTGCAAATTAAATATGATGATCCTGCGAACAGATCGAAGATCATATATTTGGTCGAGACACGAATTGCACGACAAACATTTAGTTAAAAAATATAATTTCAAAAGTTTCATTTAGTTTGAAAAATTCTGTTTCAAGTTCGATGTGCATGGGACAGTTTGATTAACTAAATATCGCAGGTAAGAGTACCTAGAAATATAATGAAAAGAGTAACTGCAATTTCTTCAGAGATCTAGTTCATATAAATGCAAGAATCTAGTCCGGTAAAACTCGATCATTCAAGACTGCAAAGAAATGAACTTGACACGAAAAGCTAGACCTCTGCGGTTTCAAGTTCAATATTTCTTTTTTTTCCCCCTGAGAACTTCCACCACATCCTGGCAATCAATCTCATCTGATGATTTATGAAGCCAATTTCCATTTGAATCGAGTTCACACAGATGGTCCAAGAACACGGTTATGGAATGTAGATGTCAAACGACTAAGAAATCAATTTAACAAAATATAGCAACAAATCACTACAATCTTAACGTTCTCCAATCTGTTTGCAAATACAAAGATCATTCCAGCTACTCGATAATAAATTGAAAATTACCCCAGATACGGGACTTGTAGCATTTAAAGATCAACTGGTGATCAGAGAGAGGAATGATCAATAAGATACCAAATTACCTCATCCCACTCGGATATCAGACTTTCGACTCCAGTGCTAGAAGTATTTTCTTTCTTGGACCCTGAAACCATAGAAGCAACCCACGAGATTACAATTAATAGCTGGAAAAATGTCGATAATGTAAGGAAATGGAAGTCCCTTCTTGGCGGACTAACTGATGCCATCTAAGTATGTCCTAGGTTAAGGAAAGTTATCGAGATCAGCTCTTTAATATAGTATTATTTTGGATAGGTAATGAGAACCACGAGTTTCATGCGAAGTAAACGTAGGCAACTTGCTCATTGAAGAAGTCAAAAGAAGATATAATACTAGCATATTCAATAAAACTAGCCCTCTTCTCCTCGGCCCATTCTGAACATATTCCTCAATTCTAAGTTCAATCATTCTTATTCTACCTAGCATCAGATATTTCAATCGGCAAGAAACCCCCGAAATTAAGATTACTAGCATAAAGTAGTAGTAATCATCATCATGGTTATTAACATTATTCTTATTCTTATTCTTATTCTTATTATGATTACTAGTATTCTGGCTTATTCAATATTTTCTAGCTATATAAATTGAACTTAAAACAATGTATTAACACCCAAAAAATTGATTGTAGAAAACTGACTTCTTCAATATCAATGATTCACATGTTGGGCCAACTGAAATTCCATAATTACTAATATTTATTTATTTTAGTTAAAAGGGTGGTTAACTGTATAATAGAAGAAAAAGAATTACAATGAAAAAGTAATATCAAATATGTTCTCAGCACTCATTTTCTTAGCACATTCAAGAAAATTCTAAAATAATTACTCATTATTAACCCAAGACAAACAGAGATGTAAGCCAACCATCATATCACATGTATAACGATCACTGTTACATTTACAATAATCCTTCTCGCATTCTTGCTTAAATCATTATTTGCAAAATGGAATATAGGTTACTAGGGATGCAAGTGTTGATTTACTTGTTATGGGGTCTCAAAATGCCAGAAATGTACATGGTCTAACAATGGCCAAGCCTGACAATATATCCCAAAAGTAAAAAGAGAAACTAACAGAGCTCTCCAGAGGAAATCCTTTAAAATTAAACCCAACATATTCATATCAATGATTGTGTTGATTTGTATACCTCAAGGCTCAAACTCAGCTCATTATTTGACTAGCTAATGAAGCTCGAGCCAGTTTAAATCTTGTTCATTTAATGATTCTAGATCTAAAAGCTCCCATTGACTTAAAACCTTCCAAAGAATTTTTTTGACAGTTCACTTTCCCAACAAAACCACCAAACCAGGGCGTCAAATCTCTCCACCTGATTTTCCTTCCCAAAACCCAACCTATATCCCGCTCAGTTTCAGCAAGAGAATATGGTCATCAGTAGAATATAGCTTAATCAAAACAGAAGGAAAAGGAAAGAAACAGAAAAAAAAATTATGAAACTGGGAGAAAAATCAAGAAGAAATTTGTTTAAAGGAGAGTCAAGTGAGAGATGAATCTTGGAAATAGTTGAAGAGTGACCAGATTATCAGCAATAGCGCCCAAGACCTTAGCAATGATATGTTCGGCAATAAATATAAAAGAAAAACTGCCAATTATATAAGCTCATCCATCTGAATATATGAACGAGAGGAAAGCAAAACCACCAGTGCATAATTAAAAGGAATACTTCAATTCTGAACAAAAGTAATGAATTTAGTCATGACACTGAGTGTTAATAAAGACAACTTGATATAAATGAGGAGTCTTGAATGCTTACCATTGGTATTCCCAAAGCTTTCAGGTCTTCATCACCCATATGTACTAGGGCTGTCATATCAACCTGCCAAAAACGATAAAAGTGCCTAAATAAGTAAACAATGACCTTAGCCCATATTTAAATTAACTAAAACAATAGATCCACATACTTCTTCAGCCTGAAATGTAATTGAATATTTCTCGAGACCAAGGGACTGCAGGAAATTATCCACTGATTCAGCCTGAAATTGATGACATGACCTTTAGGGGTGAATACATACTTGCAAATCACATCATTGCTTTTGTCCAATAAGCTTCTCCCGCAGATCCCTTGTACCTCCTGAAATTGATCCCCTCTCACTTTGGGAACCTTGCTCAATGCTCTTTTTTTGGAGCTTCAAGCGAAGATCTTTCACACCAATTCTGCGGTCTATGCAGGCCATTAACTTAATATTAAAGCTGCATAACAAATGTAAACAGAGCAACAATATATTTCTTGCAAACTAAAGCAACATAAACACTGTATACTTGAAACTTGAGGTTCATTCTCCTCAAAAAGGTCATGTTCCCATTTGTCATCATCTTCTCTTTGCCTGCAAAAGAATTAATTTGCTAAATAAAAAGTGTTTTTTTCCATCAGTAAACGCAAAAAAGGCTCCCATATCGTTCAATACTAGTCCCCAGAGATGGTGCTTTGGTTCATTGCCTAGGTGAAGAGATGTTTAACGGAATTAACTTAACACACCCTTTCCATAGAATATGTACTAGCTCGTATACACCTCAAATTATTATCAGGACTTAAATGTCCTAGAAAAGGCACCAAAAAAAAGATCATTAGTTTTCTTTTTTCTATTCTGAGTTCTGAATATTAGAAACTATGCATTTTGATCTTACATTATCTTACCAATCCCGAAAATGGGAGTGCATAAAAAAAGAAAGAAAACAGTAAATGATTCCAAATATTTAACATCAATACTTCTTCTTCCCATTACAATTAGCAAACATCCCCAATTATAAATTTCAGGCCACTTTTGACAGATTGGTAACTATATAATTTAAAAAATAAAAAAAATTAATCAAAACAATAAAAATGCCTAACTAATACAACCAAATTACACAGTTTTCTTAAGCAAGACAACGCATAGCCATTGCTAAAAACTTATAAGCAAATCAATTCATATCATACAACAATACAAGACAAGAATTTAGTGTATTTAGTTCACAAACATAAATAAGCACGACGAGAAATGAAAAGGGATGACCTCTTGCCGGAGACAAGCCTCCGTCCACCAGAATCGGCGGCCGAATTGCCGTTAAGCCTATCCTTAATCGACCTATTAGCCTGGGCCTCCGCCTCCACTCGATCAGCATACATCGCGTGATAGTCACTAAAATTCACAGGACCAAACCCTAAACCTATCCCCAAATATTGTATGTGTACGAAATTCTAGGAATTACAGAGAGAGAGAGAGAGGGGAAACGAGAAACTGAAGAGTGGGCTTTAGATTTATTTTTGTTTAAAGAGAAACAAAAATGTACTGTGCGATGCGACGTGGATATCAGATCGGAGTTCGAGTTATGGACTCCTCCAATTTTCCCTTTTTAAAGCGGAATAATAAAATAATTATACGATCAATATGGACGAAATCAGATTCAAGCTTGTTACATGTTTAAATTGCAAAAATACTTCCAACTATTTTGCCCCTGTTTGGTTGAGAAAAAAAATAATATTTTTATTAGATTTTAAGAAAATTAGTGAAATGTGTAGTGAAAAAATTGATAAAAGTTATGAGTTACAAGAACTATATGATTAAAATAAGTTTTAGAAAAAATAAGTTAAGAAATAGGGGCCAAATCAATGGCTTTATTTTAAAAATACCATTTCTTCCACGTCTTGAACCATATTACAGCTTCACGCACACAAACACAAACACAGCCAAGATGGGTCTTCAGTCGATGGAGTTCGAAAGTGTTTTTAAGTTCTTATAAGATATGGCTTTTATGGAATGTGTACATAACTTATGAACGATAAATTATAGTTCTTACAAAATATATTAATAAAAGTGTTTGACCAGCCTTAAAATTAAGTAGAAAAAAACTAAACTTTATCGTTCTCAATCGCTAACATCTGTTACCTCCAATACTAATTCAAACTTCATGTTGGAGATGTTGGTTTCACTAAAGAGAAGAATGTGATGTATGGAGGAGTGTTGTTCGTTAGAAAATGAGTTTTATTTTCATTAAATCATAAGATCACTATTACTTAATTTTAAATTTAGAACATAAATCGTATAAAAAAGGCGAATAGAAAATATAATATTAATATTAACTCTTTAAAGTTGAATCCAACATTGTCACAAGAACTACACAATCTCCCAACTAAAGTATTACAAATCTTAGGACATCAAACTACCTTGTCAACCATGATCCATGTCAACCTAAAATTATACCAAATAAATAAAA